TATTTAACATTAATTCCTGCATTTTGAGGCAATGTGTTTAACCTAATCTGATAGTTGTTAGTACACAGATTTTGCTTAGGAAGTACTTGGAAAAAAGCACTTCCAAGAGTACGTTTTCATCTCAGAAAAGGAGCACTTTTTCCTTTTTGAAAAAGTGAGAGGGGCACCTTCCACCACTGCAACCCCCCCAGCCTGCTCGCAGACGTTGTTCTTACGCCAAGCGACGAAAGTTTTAATACGGTCAAAATGTTACAAAATACCTGAAACTGCCCAGAAGACTCTATACCTAATACCCAAATTTAGTCATAACATTGAAGTAAATATACAGTATACTCGAATTAAATACCCATTAATTAGATCCTGTATACCCAAAACCACATGGCCGACACTAATTAATTTGGTGCACCAACACAACATAGTTACTGACAGTGCTAGTGAGGGGGTGGGAAGCCGGAGATCTCCGCCGCGCGATACAAAATTTCCAGTTCTGGGCCTTGTGTAACATGGCCTCAACCTCGTTCCCAGGGCTTTCGTATGACATGGACTTTAAGGGGTGTTGATTTGTGTTGATATGGAGGCAAGCCTGGGTGTCTGCATGAGCTAGCTCACTTTGCCGGTTGTATAAAACTCTTAATCACTTTTTTAATCACTATTTTGTAGTTAAATAGTGATTAACTCTCAAATCGGCGCTTCTTATTGGATGACATTTCCACTTAACTATGATTAACTTTAATCATTTTTTTATACAACCGGCCCCAGATGTCGCCATGTAATTTGTACTAATATCCATATAGTGTCTATATGGGATAGAGGTGTACATCGGATCGGTCTTGCGATAATTAATTCATTTTATTTCGAATATCGAAGTCCGATCCGACTACGAAACAACTTTATCAATCCGATCCGAAATGTACTGAGTGTTATTGCTCAGTTCACGCCAATATATTGTAAATTTTTTCGATAGATTTCGATCTTAAAAAGTCTCTGTGAACGATTCTGTGATCTTCTGTGGGTTACAACGCGTACCGTGAAAGTTGCTCGCGAAAGTGCAAATCTACAAAAAGCAAATGATCTACAAAAAGCAAATGATCCACAAAAAGCAAATGATCCACAAAAAGCAAATTATCCGAATGATCCACAAAAAGCAAATGATCCACAAAAAGCAAATGATCCACAAAAAGCAAATGATCCACAAAAGCAAATGATCCAAATGATCCACAAAAAGCAAATGATCCGAATGATCTACAAAAAGGAAACGATCCAAATGCACCAGCCAAAAAGCCTGACGATCCAAAACAAATAGGTAGCTAAAATTATTATTTAAAAAACAAAGAACAAAACGAAATGATATAATTCCATTATCTCCTATTTTTGTGACGTCACTCTTGACTTGTGACGTCATCCGTGACTTGGTATATCGCGCATAAACCATATAAGGTTACACCCCTCTACTCCGACAGGCGACAGAAGTGCTGCATTCTTTAAACATGCTAAAATGATACCAAATAAATTTCAGTCATTTTCAAGCAAGTCCTTGGTAGTTAATTGGTTAAGGATTTGCCTTATTTTGTAAACGCTGTCACTGTCAATAAGTTAGGTTTGAAATTGTGAGAGCGGGATTTCAAGTGTATACAGTGTAACATGTCAGTGTTTTTCTTCCTGTAAACAAGTAGACAGAACAATTAGGAAAGGACTGCTTAGGGTCAGGAAAAATCTATTCTCCGATCCAAGTTGATGTCGTCAATTTCTATCTCACTATCCACAGATCTTTGCAAAAGAAGAACTTCAGAATCGATGATTCCAGCTATAGACTAAATTTTGATCTAAGCAAGAAGAACAAAATCCATCACCACATGTAGAATGAGCATGTTAAAATTGGTAGTCCCCTTGGGCCTGCACGCGGGCTAAGTTTGCTCGAGAAATAAAACGAGGAAAGTATATAGCCTTACGAAATTTGCAAATTTTGTATTAATTTGTATTACGCACGGGAAATTAAAATGCACCACTTTCGGCCCAAAAATACAAACTAATACAATTAGCAATGCAAACTAATACAAAATTTGCAATTTTCGCAGGGCTATATTCAGTTACGCATTTTACAACATTTCGCGGCGAAACTTTGCAGTTTTTCTAATTCTAACATGCTCTTTCTAGCTGTGGTGATGGATTTTGTTCTTCTTGCCTAGATCAAAATTTAGTCTACAGCTGGAATCATCCATTGGAATTTTCATGCTCAAATTAGTCCGTACTGAAAATTTCATGATGTTTAGAGATTCAGGGTGCAAGTTACAGCGTTTTGAATTTTTTTTTTCCAATATGTTTGACTGGAATTTGCCGCTGCAGTGAAAATGAAGACTGATTCTGGGGTTCATTATTGTGAAATATGATCACGAAAAAGTTCAGTTCGTTCTTTCCACATTATGACCTCATACAGTGTATCTATAATTGAACAGACAACGGTAAAATCTTATCTATTTGTTAAATACAATCTTTACAAAATAGTTAACAATAGCTAATTAATGTATACGGTACTATTAATATTAGCTAATTGTTCCAAGTCTTGTGCTGACGAAAATGTTCAATTATGCCCGAAAGAAATGCATTTCATGATTTCCTCTACCGAGCAACAGTTCGTTCCTTTGTCTGGATGTTCCGGTTCTTTACCAAACGCTAATATATATTTAAACAATACTATCAAGTGTAATTTGTAAGTTGCTCAAAGTATATATAGCTGAACCTTTTACAAGTTATACGATATCTATGGAAACAAAAAAGTCGTCCATTTTTGAAAGCAGTGACTTCATAATTCAATATTTTTACTTGACTGTCATTATTTTTGTATAACATTATACTTCTGTCTCTTTACCCCCACGTCGTATTGGTTGTAATGATTCACCAGGTGTTGCGAAGAGCGTACGGTGACCGTGTAATATTTTCTGAAAATACAAAAAACAGATTCCATACACCAATACTACCCTTATCAACACTATGTTCGACACTACGCGCAAGACGTGATGGTTTGTGCATAAAAACTTTTGACAAAATCAGACAGCCTGATTCACGCCTTAATCATTTAATACCACCTTCTCGGGCCAATGGACACAATTGTAATTTAAGGTACGGAAATAGATTAACACTGTTTCCTTGTAAGACGGAGCGCTTTAAGAAAAGCTTTTTTCCTACTATGTGTATTCAATCACATAATTTATAAAATTTGTAAATTTTGTAAATTTAAAAGTTCTTTCGATGTTAATTCATAGATCAGTAAACTATTGTTGTAATATAATGCCAGTAACACAAGGTACTTTTTAATACTTTTAACTAAAGTTTGTAAATAATGTCGCAATTCGCTTTCATCGAGCGCGACGATTTTTATAATAAACCATTAATAATAATAATAATAATATACGTAATTCGCTATTCAAGTTTTAATCCTACAAGCAACTGACTGTGAGTCATCCCTATTCTCTCTTGGTCAATGAACGAAACTGCACTAGTCTTCATCAATTAAAGAATAGTTTAAAGTAAAGGACACCACAAAAATAAACTTTTTAGACCTATAACATGGAGTGGGGTGTGTGTATGCCAGATGTTTGCACCAATGAAGATGTCAGAAAAAACTTCGAATTTCTGTTCAAAAATGGTGAGCATGAATGTACATCCTTGTCTTATTGCATGATATATGAAAGTTGCTTTGGATCCATGAAATATTTATGTACTAACAATTTAGGAATATATCTGGAAATATCAATATTTTGAAAACATCATTTTAGTAGAATTGAATATAAATTGGTTGTAATTAGTAGATGGGATTTTTTAATTAAAATTTGCTACTAAAAGTATACATCTATACACTCGAATATATTTGTACGTGTTTAGTTCCAATCATGCCGCTGTATGTTCAACATTGAGAAATGACTCTCAATATTTAGTTTCAGGTATCGATCGAGTTACGCCATTTACGAAATTTTTACAAGTCAAATGTGCTGAGGATCCTGAATATACAACAACAGTTGTTATCACAATGTAAGACTTAGTTTAATCACATTCTTCAAAACAGAAAATACGTGACACAGAACATACGGTCGCTTGGATCAAAGAGTGATCAGCTCAGTATAGTATATAAAATGTAAATCCAAATGTTTAAATCTTTTCAACATTTTGAATTCGGTTTTGTTTAGCATATTTTGTGGACTGTTAGTTGGAATATGTTTGCTTGCAACTATAATGGAAATATTAAAAGCGTCGAATAATCCTGATAATAAAGTGGAAGTAGTTGAGAACAGTGGCCATATCTCTATGGATAAAGACGCCAATGAAAAGACGCTATTATTACCAGATGCCACCACGAAGGTGACAAAGGATGAAGGTATTAATATGTGTTCTAATTTTTGGCTGAAAATTTTGTTTCTCCGTTTCTTCTCTTAACAGAGTTTATTAAATCATTTGACTTGCTATAACAACATGCAAGATTTCCTAACTAGTAAAACACGAAAAAATCGACAATAGGCTATACGACATGCATGTCTTCCTATAGGTAAAAGAGGAACTAATGCATGTATACAAAAAACTGGTATTATTAATAATTTAAAAATGCAATGTTCAGTACCGGTGGAGTTCAGAAAGTACAGTCTGTTTTGACACTTTAATAGAACTGCATAATGCATGCTAATTATTTAATATTTAATTAGGTTAATTTTGGTCACGTGTTGTTTGTTTTAATCATACGATCGAAAGTCGAGGACAAAAGGGAACAACAACTATTTTGACAGCCAAATAATACGATAAAAATGTATTAAAACTTGTACGAAATAAACCTTAGAACATTGTCCGTGTCTTTGTGTTGCGAAGAGTTCACAACAGTCAAAATAGTTTGATTAATAGAGCGAAATGGGAAGTTATTTTGGGCGAAATATGCCAGATCAATAACAATTCCGAACGCGTTCGAGTAGTGACACGCTAGAAAACAAAGACATCGAGTGTTAAAGATCGCATCAACGATGGTTAAAATTGAAGAGTTAAATCGGAAGAGAAGTTCGGCGAAGAAAAAGTTCGACGACGAGGTAAAAAGCTTCGAATTTGTGCTAGAAGCTCGCCCGGAAATACATAGTCTTGAAGAGGCTTTTGGCGAAGTCAAGGTAAAATATAAAGCTGTAAGAGAAATACATGATGGAATTACTGACTTAATGGTCGAAGCTGACATTGAGGAAGCCGATTTTACAAACCATGATATTTTTATTACGGAAATCATTGCAAAATATGGCGATTTACTCTCAAAGTTAGAACAATATCGACGAAAATGTGAAGTAGATCAAACATCAAAGGGACTACCGACTGAAATGGAACCCAAACAACAGAGGTCTAATCTGGAGAGAATCAAGGTACCACAATTTTCTGGAAACATTAAAAATTATCGAACATGGAAAAGAATTTTCGAGGACACTATGAAGAGAAATTATGAAAATGAAGGAAGTCAACTTGCAAGATTGATTGAAGCTATCCAACCCCCCCCCCCCCTGAGATATGAAATTGAATGTTTTACTACAACTAAAGCGATATGGGAATTTCTCGACAAGTTATTTGGAGACGACAAAGAGTTGATTAAAATTTTGATGAATGATATCAAAACAATGAAACCCTTGAAGGTCAAAGATGCAAAGTCGATTCGGAATTTGGTCGCAACAGTTCGTGGGTTTATTCTCAGAATGGAGGATGTTGGAGCATCTGACGAAGCCAAAAGTAGATATGTGTTTGCTGATATTCTGGCGAAATTGACGGTAGAAGATCAAAGAGCTTACGCACGGAGTATGATGATACAAAGAAGATTGAAAGCCTGCATACCTTGTTGGAATACCTAGAAGAAGAGGCAAAAATAATGGCAAGTAGTCAATCGGATCAACGCTCTTCAAAAATTGGGATTTATCCAGTTAATGTGGACGGTGGTTACAATGTTGCCCCTGGTTGTGGTTTGGGTTGTTCCCAACAACATGGTTTAGGTTATTGTCCAGCATTTAAGAAGATGAAAGTGAAGGAAAAGTGGGAAGTGGTGATTCAGTCCAAGAGATGTAAAAAATGTCTGCGAACTGGACACCGACACCAACAGTGTTCGCGAAAGGCATGTGATATCAACAGTTGTGGAAGACCACATCATTACCTATTGCATAAAGATCCAAAACAAGTGGACAATGGCAATCTGAACCCTGATGCACAACCATTCAAACCAGATCAGGAGGAAGCTACAGGCACGGGAAAGTCCAATCAGATTGGTGCTATTTCAGCTGGTAATGCAGGAACTGCAAATGTACCAACTCAAAAGGTCAAAGTGCACAGTGCCAATGGGAACTCTATTGAGGGACTTGCCATGGTTGATAGTGGTTCTAATAAGAGTCTCATTCGGAAAGAGTTTGCGGACAAGCTCGGTTTGGTCGGAGAATCAAAAAAGATGAAGATGTATGTTGCAGGCGGTGGAATTAGAGTTGAAGATTCTGCTGAGTTTGATTTAAAGATATCGCCCTGTTATGATGAAGATATTGTATTCAATGTGAGAGCTTATTCAGTCAAGCAACCATGCCAAGCAGCCAAAACTATTTCAAAGAAAGCGGTAGTCAGATTTCCTCACCTTGTTCGAATTGTAGAAGATCTACATTTAAATGGCGGTCCAGTGGACATTCTATTGGGAACAGATCTACCGGAAGCCCATCGTGATTTTAAAGTTCTGGCGGGTAACCCTGGTGAACCGATTGCAAAGAAGAACATCTTTGGTTGGTCAGTCCTTGGTAATCTTGAAGAGAATAGTACACCTGGAATTTTTGCTGTCGAAACCATTGACGACATAACAAAGGACCAGGACATAAAGAAATTAACTTTCCAAGATCAATTAAGAATCAAACCAACTGGTTACTGTACATGCTCTGAGAAAGAAATGCGAGAATGTGCATTCATTCAACATGTTCGGGAGTCTACTAGAGTTTTGGATGATGGAAGAATTGAAGTAAGAATGCCTTGGAAACCAGAACATACCAATCTACCTAACAACCGGTCTGTCGCGTTCGAACGAATGGTGTCGAAAGAAAGGCAGCTGGTAAAGAAAGGAAAGTTGGAGGCGTTTAACAAGGAAGTAAAAGCTTTGGTCGACAGAGAGGTGGTCATTAAGCTGAAACAAGAGGAAGTAAACCCAGAGGAGCCGGCGTGGTATCTACCGATTGGAGAAGTGGAAAGTCCCGACAAGACTACCAAGTGCAGATTAGTTTTCGATGCAGCAGCCAAAATGGACGGACTTTCCCTCGATGATGCTCTTGAAAAAGGACCATGTCTTATGAATTCCTTATTTGATGTGTTGATTGGCTGGAGACAGAATGGAGTCGCCTTTGCTGGAGACAACTCGAAGATGTTTAATGAGATAGCTGTCCATCTGGATGATCAGAAATACCACAGATTCTTGTGGAGAGACGGAGAAACTGACAGAGAGCCTGACATGAATGCCATTAATCTTCTCGCTGATAGAGTTCAAGTCAAATCACCAGAAGCAGCAAGAATCCTAAAGGATAATACTTATGTTGATGACGTTGCGGGGTCGGAGACATCACCAGAGAAAGTCAAGAAAGTGGTCGATGGTATCGATACCATTTTGGGCAAAGGCAAGTTTGCCATCAAAGCGTGGCACAGCAACAGCCCAGAGATTGATCAAGATGGCAACGAGAATCCGGTGAGTCTACTGGGTCATCAATGGAACATGAAAGCTGATAGCATTGCTTTGAAGAGCGAGACAGTGTATACAGATCTCAGTTATTGTACGAAACGAAAGGCTCTTGGTGTGGTGTCTCAACTGTGGGATCTGCTAGGACTGATGGCGCCAGTTACAATTCGGTTTCGAATTGATCTCCAAAATCTATATCAGTGGGATGAGTTATTGCCACCTGAAGAAAAGTTAAAATGGCAAAAAAATGTCGGAGTTGGTGATCTTGTATTAGAAATCGATGGGAATCGCAAGAGAGGTGAGTGGCAAATGGCGTTGGTGGAAGAAGTATTTCCTGGTGGTGATCGTAAAGCCAAGATCAGAGCGTCGAAGGGAGTCTACGAAAGACCCATAGCGAAGTTATGCTTAATTGCAACCCGACAAGAGCTCGATCGCGAGCAGAATGAAACTTTAGTACAACATAGTTAAAAAACACTGAAAAGACAGGCATATAGACAGTAATTTCGTTGCTCAAACGTTGAGTTGTTAACGTTTTCCGCACTGGGGAGGAGTGTTTTGGCACTTTAATAGAACTGCATAATGCATGCTAATTATTTAATATTTAATTAGGTTAATTTTGGTCACGTGTTGTTGTTTTAATCATACGATCGAAAGTCGAGGACAAAAGGGAACAACAACTATTTTGACAGCCAAATAATACGATAAAAATGTATTAAAACTTGTACGAAATAAACCTTAGAACATTGTCCGTGTCTTTGTGTTGCGAAGAGTTCACAACACACGCATAATAAATATTTCCACAAGCATACTATTACTTATCAATAATATACATGAAAAAATTATGCAGTCACGTGCGCAAGTCACATTTAAAATGATTAAGAAATTAAGAAAACTGATTAAGAAATTTGAAAAATAAAGTATTAAGAAAATTAAGCAGATTAGGAAATTTGCACTGTATATTTCTTTTTCTTGCGCTGTATTTTATTTTTTGGCACTGCATTTCGAAAATATTGCACTGCTCTAAGCCAATCACAGATTTTTGTCAGAATAAACTTTATTATACAAAAAAACGTTAGCTGTTTTCTTTGTATATACTCATTCTTTCTTTTACTCGTTGTTTTGGGAGATTAAGATGACCGTCGACTCGACTCGTGACTCGAACTTTCAGTGACTCGACCTGTAGATCTATGACTCGTGAATTACAACACTGATTTGTGGTGTCAGATAGTGGAATCCATGCCAGTTAGTACAGTGACTGTTTTAACGGATTGAACGTATGAACGAACTATTCGTCTTGACTTTTCGCAAGGCCAAAAATAGGTACGCGATGCGCACATGTATCATGCGAAAAAACTTGATTCACATTTTGTATTTTCTTGAAAGAAACTGAATAATGAAGATGACATGGGACAATTGAAATATTTCATCACTTATTATAATAGCAGATAAGATTTAAAACAGGGCTGTACACAGCAGGAGTGCAGCAGGGCAAGTGCCCCCCCCCCGTACCAAGAAAATTTAACTAACTTTATAATGTGATTATGATTGTAACAGATAATTATGCAGTCAGGAAATAAAAATTTCATGCAAACAATATTCAAAGTGTCTATACAGCCGGCTATTTAGTAAACTGTCACCTGTCAATTCAATCCATACTCATCAAATTTTCAAAACTTTATTGTAATCATATGAAGCAAAAGTTATGTCACTTGTTGTTTACACTTGCCAATGTTAACTGTTGAGTAACATACACAAAATATTTGGTGAACATGTCGAAGACCACTGAATAATTGAGAATGTTTTGAAGGTTATGAGTGAAGTATATAATTAAATTCCAGTTCTGTGCACAGTTAATGATATACCACACTGTTCGGTTTAACACGTACAGCACATTCACACAAAAACAATTGTGTTGTGGAAGATTATCGGTTTGAGTAGAAGGTATCACAAGTTTAGGTTTGTACATTGTGTGCCATTGATCAAATCCACCATATAATATGATTATTCATTGTAGCTGTTAAGTTATTTTCCATACTAATGAATTTAGGTAAGATTGTCTTGCAAGTTGGTTGTTCTGACAAAATTATCCAGCCATTATTATTCTTCATTCTTGTATTAATCTCTAAAGAAAAATATTTATGTTAGAAAGCAAAATGACAATGTAATGAGGCTCGGGAGGGTGAGGATTCTTTTATTTGAAAATGTTTGTAAAAATTTTGTTTAATTAACTCTAATGTGTAAAACCAAAACGTATAAGTATTTTAACTGACAACATCTTCAACCTTTGCTCTAACACTACATTTGATGACAGCTTTATAGTTGGACTGTTGTTTTGAACCGAGTTATGGAGTCAATATACAGAAATACAGGACCAGGATTTAATTCAATATCTAGTGAGAACTGTCCAATAGGTTCCTTTGATATTGTTAACTGGCAATATTGCCTGCTATGTTTTCACTGTTTAAAATATTACAGAAGTCACAGAAGGATTCTTTTTAATACTGTATAAATCTTTTTGTGAACTATGTTGACAATTGGCTTAAAATATCCTCGAAAATATCCAATATTTTATACAGTGTAATATATTAATAAAAAATTCCAGAGTGCATTCCATGTAAACTCTACGCCGAAGATACGGCAATATCAATTCTTTATTTTGTGGCAATAATAACTATAGATAGGATAGTAAATATTTGCCGAACTGGCGAACTCATGTATTAATATAAAATATGTGGGACATATATTTGCACAAATTTGGTATTTAAATATATAATATGTAGTATTTGGCTACTTACCAGATGAGGATAAGATTCCATGTTGATAAATAACGTCGGAATAATATCGCAAGTAGAATGCCGATTCAAGATAAATTGATAAAAATATCAAGATATTTTTGAAAGAATATAAACACGATTGATACACGAGGCCTGACAAGGCTAAAGTATGCCCGTTCGCAGGTTAGATGCGGGCACGATGTAAACAATTGATGTAAACGAATCGCTGATTGGCTTAAATTTACTTAAATTGGCTTAAATTATATAAGCTCATCCCTGAATGGCTATATGTTAACATACGGTACGGTAACATTAACGGCACGTTTGCGATGGCATATATATCTGCTTCGCAGATACAAAAATAGGTACGCGACGCGTACATGTATCTGCGAAAAAAGTTGATTCACATTTTGTATTTTCTTGAAAGAAACTGAATAATGAAGATGACATGGGACAATTGAAATATTTCATCACTTATTATAATGGCAGATAAGATTTAAAACAGGGCTGTACACAGCGGGGAGTGCAGCAGGGCAAGTACAACCACCACCACCCCACCCCACCCCACCCACGCACTGAGAAAATTTAACTAACTTTATAATGTGATTATGATTGTAACAGATAATTATGCAGTCAGGAAATAAAAATTTCATGCAAACAATATTCAAAGTGTCTATACAGCCAGCTATTTAGTAAACTGTCACCTGTCAATTCAATCCATACTCATCAAATTTTCAAAATTTTATTGTAATCATATGAAGCAAAAGTTATGTCACTTGTTGTTTACACTTGCCAATGTTAACTGTTGAGTAACATACACAAAATATTTAGTGAACATGTCGAAGACCACTGAATAATTGAGAATGTTTTGAAGGTCATGAGTGAAGTGTATAATTAAATTCCAGTTCTGTGCACAGTTAATGATATACCACACTGTTCGGCTTAACACGTACAACACATTCACACAAAAACAATCGTGTTGTGGGAGATTATCGGTTTGAGTAGAAGGTATCACAAGTTTAGTTTTGTACATTGTGTGCCATTGATCAAATCCACCATATAATATATATGATTATTCATTGTAGCTGTTAAGTTATTTTCCATAACAATGAATTTAGGTAAGATTGTCTTGCAAGTTGGTTGTTCTGACAAAATTATCCAGCCAATATCCAGTACATTTATTCTTCATTCTTGTATTAATCTCTAAAGAAAAATACTTATGTTAGAAAGCAAAATGACAATGTAATGAGGCTCGGGAGGGTGAGGATTCTTTTATTTGAAAATGTTTGTAAAAATTTTGTTTAATTAACTCTAATGTGTAAAACCAAAATGCATAAGTATTTTAACTGATAACATCTTCAACCTTAGCTCTAACACTACATTTGATGACAGCTTTATAGTTGGACTGTTGTTTTGAACAGAGTTATGGAGTCAATATACAGAAATACAGGACCAGGATTTAATTCAATATCTCCTGAGAATGTTTTCACTGTTTAAAATTTACAGAAGTCACAGAAGGATTGTTTTTAATACTGTATAAAGCTTTTTGTGAGCTATGTTGACAAATGGCTTAAAATATCCTCGAAAATATCCAATATTTTAACAGTGTAATATATTAATAAAAAAATTCCAGAGTGTATTCCATGTAAATGTAGATTCTACGCCGAAGATACGGCAATATTAACTATAGATAGTATAGTAAATATTTGCCGAACTGGCGAACTCGTGTATTATAAAACTTATAAAATATGTGGGACATGTATTTGCACAAATTTGGTATTTAATATATATAATATGTGGTATTTGTCTACTTGTATATTAATATTTTAACAGTGTAATATATTGCATTCCATGTAAACTCTACGCCGAAGATACGGCAATATCAATTCTTTATTCTGTGCAGTGCTTCCATTTTTAAAATCAAAATTTCTCATTTTTGTCATCAAAATTTCTCTAAATTCCTTAGATATTATATGTTATTTCCTTGAAAATTCCTTGAAATTTCATGAAGCAGTTTGCAGTGATTTGGTAGCAATACAAAGAATTTAATTAATTTTCAAGACACAAAATAGCACAATTAACAAAGATATTATACTGTTTAAAATTAAATATTTGTTATGAATTTACAAGAGATATTTTTACAGGAGCAGGCTATCTTTACATTGACATGATTAACTAACTATTCACAGCGTTTGGCGCAGTTTGGCGCCAAAAGTTACTAAATCCCATCGCTCGGAAATTTTCGGAAGCCCAGGAAAAACTTAAAAACAGATTTTTTATTAAAGATAATTGATAATTCACTCAAAAATTAAAAAAATACTGAAACCTTTTTCTTCACTAATGCACTTGGATGAATATTTAAGTTTTTCGGAAAAAATCCTTAGATTTCCTTAGATTTTTTCTGTTCCTTAGATTTTCCTTTTCGACAGTAGAATTTCCTTAGAAAAGGAAATTTCCTTGAAAATGGAAGCACTGATTCTGTGGCAATATTAACTATAGATAGTATAGTAAATATTTGCCGAACTGGCGAACTCATGTATTATTAAATATGTGGGACATATATTTGCACAAATTTGGTATTTAAATATATAATATGTGGTATTTGACTACTTACCAGATGAGGATAAGATTCCATGTTGATAAATAACTTCGGAATAAAAAAAAGACAGCCAATTCAAGATAAATTGATAAAAA